CATTGCTCCACCGTTCTTGTTTTCGCATGCCCTAGGTATAGAACCTCTTTTGCACATAGAAGACACTTCCTACCTTTCAATTTCAACCCAGTGCAGCTAATAATCGGTCAAATACTTTTTCGAGATTGTCCATCATCTCCTCAAATGATCTTCCCACAATAACGACATCATCAAGATATATGCGGCACACCTGCCACTGTAGTCCTGCTAGTACAGTCTCCATTAATCGTTCAAATGGTGCTGGGGCTGAATTTAAACCAAAGGGCATAACTTGGAACTCGTACAACCCTGTGCGAGTGGCGAATGCGGTCTTGGCACGGTCCTCTGAATCCAACTCTACCTGTCAGTATCCGGAGTTCAGGTCTAGTGTCGAAAACCATGAACATCCAGCTAGTTGGTCTAGTGTCTCGTCAATACGAGGCAGAGGGTATGCATCGGGAATGCTGACAGCGTTAAGTCGTCTGTAATATACGCAAAACCGCATTGTCCCATCCTTTTTCTTGACCAAAACAATGCCTGAGCTCCAAGGGCTAGAGGATTTCTTTATAATACCTCGGTCGAACATGTTCTGCACTTGTTTGTCAACTTCTGGTCCCATATTCCCTGGGATACGTCGTTAAGGCTGTTTTATCGGACAAGCATCTCCTGTATTGATCTTATGCTTCACGACATCTGTTCGCCCCAAGTCCTCATCTGATGCAGCAAACAGATCTTCATACTTTTGCACAAGATGTCTCAGCTCCTCGTATTGTTGGCCGGTGAGGTTTGTTTTTGATGCCTCTAGTAGCCTAACCAGGTCTTCTCTTAAGCTGTTATTTTTGAGAGGCTGTGCTCCTTCTATTTCTTCTACTACACTCTGAATTGCACTAACTTGTGCTATGGAAGTGCCAGGATAGATCAACTTATCTTCCTCTGAGGTGTTCATCATGCGCACAGGCACTGTAGCTGTATTGTCCACCAGCGAACGACCAATGATAGCACGGTCGCTCTTCAAAAAGGATTCAAAACCTTTCCACTAGTAAGGCGTTCCCATGCATGGCCTTACCATCAGGCACACACACCTTCCCAGAGACTATGACCTCTGATTTTGCTGGTAGTTCAATCTTCTCAGTTGTACACACTCGGAAACAACCCATAGTTCCCTCATATTTAGCCTCAACATGCACTCCATCCAAGGTAAGACAACCCTTGGCCAAATCCAGAGTTACATTTCTCTCTATCATAACATCAAGACCTAGAATGCCATCTGTGGTGAGTTTCGCAACAACCACTTCTACCAGTATGTTTGTGTAGTCCTCCAATCTGATGTTAAACCTCCCTTGTCCGAGGATTGATAATTTGTCGCCACTTGCTGTCAAGACCTCTTTACTCATCTGCTTTAACTCGGGTCTAGCCGCCTGAGAAATGTGGTTATACAGATCTTCAGAAATTAAAGTTATTGTTGCCCTTGTATCGACCAACAATTTGGCCTTGGCACCATGTATGTCAGTCTTAATATACATGCCAGCTTCATGAACAGCTGATGAGACTCCTATATTAGCCTTATGTTCAGTCTGTTTCCGTCTTTTCCGAGTTCTAACTCGCTTCGCTACTGGCTTATCTGCTCCATTGTCAGTGGTTGCCTGATTTTTCAACTTCGGGCAATTCCTGTGAAAATTACCCTCCTCATTGCAATAGTAGCAAGTTTTTCGACTAGTCTCGTCTTTATTTGGTCTTTGCTGACTTGAACTCCTATCGCTTCCTTTCAGCTTCACTACATCATCCTGTAGGACTGTAGTTGCTGTTGTATGCCTTTTAATAGACTAGACATATCAGAGTTTTGACTAGCTTTCTCTGTAGTCACACTAGCCTTCTCTGTAGTATGACTGTCCTCTGTGTTTGTGGCTCTCAGATGAGCTTTACAATCACTCGATTTCTTTTCAGCCCGATGGTAGACCTCCAGTTCCACAGCTAACCGTATAATGTCTGTCAGATTTTGAGGTCTACCTTGTTTTATCCTGATTTTCATGTCTGAATCAGCTAGAGCCTCAATGAATTGCTGCTTAGCCAAGGTATCACGCACATCACTGGGCACTGTCGGGTATCCAAGGTTTACTAGCCGTCTAATGGCTTGTTCCAGCTCTGGTAGACTTTCCGCTGCTTTCTGTCGCCTCTCTATGAGTTGAACCCGGTATAACTCTGTTTGGTTAGGAGGAGCAAAACGTTCTTCTAACGCGCTAACCAGGGACTTATAATCTTCTTGCTTTGATATGGCCAGGTCCCCAAGGATACCTTGTGCTTGACCTCTGAGTGCAACAGCCAAATATAGACCCTTCTCATAATCCGACCAATTGTTGATGCGGGAACAATTCTCAAAATGAGATTTGTAGTCAACCCATGAGGTGGAACCATCATATGTTGCAGCCTTCACATGTCTGACCTTCATTTGAGTGTTGCGTGGTTTTCTGGTATATTCTTGTTCTTTATCATCCTCACTACCACTGTCATGTTCATATACTGACCTCCTGTGACGTCTCTGAGAATTCCTACGTGTCACCCAATCATGACTACCTCCATCCATGTCACCAACATAGTCAAGGAGCTGCTCTGTTCTTGAACGGATTCTCTCTCTGGGGTGGTCCAATTTCCTATCAGTATATGGCCTTGTAGTTGGAGACGGTTTAAGAATACCTTCACTCTTTGTCTGTGACCTAGACAACTCAGGCCTCATTTGTCTGATTTCATCCTCAACCTTATCAACATCCATATCTGAGGATAGCCTGGGAACATCTATGTGCTGTGTATATTCCCCTCTGGATCTATCACTCGATGCAATATAAGAGTCCCTAGGTCTACGAGGTGTAGATTTTGAATAACTGACATGCCTTTTTATCACTGGTGTTATAGGGCTTGCACGACCATGGTACGACACGTCCCTTCTCTGGCTAACAGTTTCCTAGTCATCCTCTAATGGACTGAGAACGTCATCCTCTAAATAGCTAGCCATGTTCACAAACCAATACAAATAACTATAAGGTATGACTATAAAAACAGTACAGGTGTATTCTAATTAATACAAATTATAATGCAGAAACCTAACCACAGGGATCCCACACGCTGCCACCAAAAGTATGTAACGTTCCGGGGTCCGTACCCTAGTCACTTCTAAGGATCCCTGTGCTGTAAGCTTAATTATAACTATACTGCAGTTGCAAATATATACAAATATGTGTTACTACCTTGTAACCAGCATACCTATTACCTAATGCTTAATACATGATACGAACAGAATAATTACTGCACGACTATAGAACTATTACAAAAGCTATCTGCTCAGTATCAATATAACACACTACCGTTCAATCCAGGCAGTACACAACTCGACTACCTAGTCGCGGCTAGCCCTAGTCACTATAGTTGCCATATAGTCAGCTATTTACATGACCTAGTCGTGTCGAGCACGACAGCCTTATACATACTAATATACAACTACGGCACTCTAATAACCACGACTATACCTAGTCACGACTAGCTCTAACAACTATACCTAGTCACGAGTAGCCTGGTCGCGACTACCCCTAGTCACGACTAGCACTGCATAGCCTATGCCCGTGACACTTTCTGTCTAACAGTATCTCGCTACAGCACTCAATCGTTTATTTAATATATCTTCCAGGCAATGTGTGGATCAAGGCAAGACTTTACAACTGTGCACAGACTGACCCATATCTTCTTTCCCGTGTTACGTAAACAGCACACAAATTGACTTACATTACAATTCCAACTGTGACGCACCTTGTAAACATTCCCAATGTCATATTACAGAACAACAATCTACTTACACCACAACCATACGTACACACGTGTTGTTTACCATGATTACTTTACCTGAGTTAGTAACCCATGCAGGTGGGAGATTTGCTTTGGTGTCCTCAATTGGGGACACAAAAGCGACCAAAATTAATTTGCTGTGCCCATTGCAATATTTGGGATCTTTATCTTTCTTTCTACTTCTAACTAAATTTTATTTCCTAGCGCCTTGCTTTGCAACACCTCACTTTTGGCTTGAATGAGGCAATGGGTTCTGTCCCCAGGCCGAGGCATACCAAAGTCCTTAAAAATGGTAGTTGTTATTCCCTGCTTAACGTTCAGCATTCACGGGAATGGCAACAATTGGTTCACCCATTGTCAGTTTAATGTGACCGGGCGGAATGCTTTGCTGGGTGCCTTGGTCATGCTATTTCAGGAAGGTACCACTATAAAGTCGGCATCAGATCCGCGCTATCACAAGTATGCAAGCATACCAACATACCCGTCTCCTGCATACACACACACAGGCACGCATACACTGCACACATGGAGGCACGTCCTTAACTGACCTTAGCTGTTAATAAGACGTTAAATAAAATAAAACCAACCAAACCAAATCACATGAGTTACTTAACTGACAAATCTCAAAATAAGAAAAAACGGACTCCAACCTACGAAATTATAATAAACATGATAAACAATGGTCATTATTTTTGGGAGCATATTCCACTACAATGTTGATGATATGTTTTGGTGTGTGTATGATACATGTTTATGATAAACAGCTAACCACAAATGTTATTAGTACATTGTTGTGGATGTCTGTAATGGAGGATCATGAAGTAAAAGGGCGACAATAGTTCAGCAATTTTACACACAAAAGTGACCGAAGGTGTTAAATCAGGCGGTTATTTCCGTTAATGGCATGGGAGTAAGTTAACAGGGACAATTTGACAGAAAACCTGAGGATATCTTTGGGGATGTTCTTTTTGTGTTCAAAACCATTTGTTGGATAGCATTTAATGTCGAGAATGCGGTAGACAATCACCCAGCAATCAATCAGATAAATAAGCTGAATTGCGTCATAACGCGAAGAGGTTGGAAAGTTGTGAAAGATGAACAATAAACAAACACATGGGATTGTTCCTTAAACATTTGGCAATAGATATGCCGAAAATACACATTGACCAAACGAAACATATTTACCACAGGTGGACTCTGGAACTATACAAAAGAGGTCCATCCTGACCAGGCATGCGTGATGAAGTCGACGGTGATCAATACGAGTAAGGAAATGATGTGTTACAGTGACTTTCCCATCCCCTCCGAGTACCCCATCTACATGCACAACGCCTACGTGCAGAAGTACTTCCGGTTGTATGCAGACAAGTTTGGCCTAGACAAATACATCAAGTTCAATAACGAGGTGAGCTAAAAGTCTGCTGTTGAAAAAAATAAACGTTTGGGTCTGGTAGAGCAGGTAAGGTTGGTTGACTGTTCGATACTTGCTATTCAAAATAAGGCGTCATTCATAAATAACAGCTACATTTTTACCTAAACTAAGGTGTTCAGAGTAATTTTACACGTTTTGGGGGTTTATATCAAATTTCGGTAAAATTGCAAACTGCACGACTCGTTGGGGTCGCATTGTTCAGGTTCCTTTGAGTTGGAGGTAGGCTAGCACTCAGCATGCTTGATAACCAAGGTAACCCTACCTATTCACTTTCCAATTTTTCGAAAGACGAAATACTAGCTTATCACGTTTCTCTATTACAATCTTTCCAAATAACCATTAATGATAAGGATACGGACCTCTGCCTCGTTTGTGTTGGATTCTGAAATTTCACCAGAATCCTTATAACTAACGTTTTATCGCGGGCTCAACTTGTTACTCAACCAAGACATATTACAAACTTAGTACCGTATATTCAAGGCTACAATCGTATTGTGACACTATATACTCGGTAAGTGGAATAATTGGATTGGATTGGAAGCTTTTTTTTAACTTTCGACCCATTACACAACAGCTCCTCATACTAAATAGAAAGAACGCCCTAGTTTTTCTTATTATGAGAAGTTTCTTTTCCCTAAGAAAAAAATAGAGCATGTTTTGTGAAAAGCACTACAAAGGCTAAAATAATTAAACAGATGTTGAAGTTGTTAGAATATTAAGTCCGGTGGCAAGACTTCCCATCAGTAAGCTGACTGTAGCCATTCCTATGGGAAGAAATTGTGCCCCTCCTCTGGCCGACTTGTTTGATTTTCATACGAAGCAAAATTTATTGATAAGCAATCAGGACAAAAACAGAAACCTTAGCCAATTGCAAGTCCTTCAATTTAACATTCAAATACATCCACGATATGCTGTCTATAAATAACAATAAATTTATTGACTGCGTCGAACTTGTATACCCTAGGCCTCCCGAGATTGAAATTAAGTATATACATTTTCCTTTTAATCAGTTATTTTTCTTAATCTTTATATAACATAATCAAGAGACCTCTAAAACTACACTACGATAAGTATGACTATTTTGATTTTCCAAATGTGATCTTTCCCTTTCTTGAAAGTAACATCCTTGCTTTTCTATGTTGCTGTTGATTCGATCGGGTTCAAGAGTTTACTGCAAATAGCATAATTTAAAAACTTCATGACTTCATCATGATATCATAGATGTAGACCACTGACGGACAGAGTTATAACACAGGTTTTTCAAAGATGCAGCTTAATGAAGACTATGGACTGAAGACTTATGAAGGTCGATGTTGTTGATTATGCTCCTTTGGTTTTGTTGTCATTACCCCAGTTCTCGCTTTGTGGATGTACCATATCTTCACCTATATTCAATACAGAAGATACTTACTCTTCCGGAACACCTGGTCTTATTTTCATTGTATTCAAGGGTCTCCATGCATTTTGTTCAACTTTTTGAGTTCAAACTTCACGCTTTTGTAGTCTTTCTTCCAAGAACCAATAAGAGCTTAAATTTAGTTTATAGATTTTTGAATAACAATGAGTGATTATTCTACTTTAAAATCATTTCATAAATATTGTCAGTTGGAATTAGTTGGAAACTCCTGCTAAAATCCTCACATTTAAATCATTACCACTCATTCATTTATAATTTCATGCTATCTGTATATTTAGTCACAAAACGAACTGGTACACTTATCAATTTATTGTATTAAAAACTGCTGTCGTTAAACTAAAAAATGCTCTTGTGCCTTCACAAGATTTATATCCCAGCTACGCCCCTGACCTCGAAATACCAGTAGTGTAAGGCAGGGGTGGGTTGGTTAGTTGTATAGAGTTTAACGTCCTATCAACAGCTAATGTCATTTAAGGACGTTGTTCCATGTGTGTTGTGTAAGCGTACGTACGTGTGGTTATGAGTGCCGGAGACAAGGTATGTCTGACAAGGTAACTGCCGCCTTGTGATAGCGCGGATCGGATGCCGACTTTATAGTGCTATCTCACTGTAATACAACGCCAAAGGCACCCAGCACATCATTCCGCCCGGTCACATTATACTAACATCGAATGCACAAGTTGTTGCCTTTGCCATAATGTTGAACGAATAATGTACCATTTTAAGGACTTTGGTATGTCCCGGTCTAGGTACAGAACCCATTGCCTTCCTTACCTGGGCGAATATTCAACATTAAAACCAGAAGTGAAGTATTTGCAAGGCGCAAGGAAACACAAGGTAGTTACAAGTAGAGAGAAATATATAGATCCCTAATATGTCAATGAGTGCAGCAGCTTTAGTTTGGTCGCTTCCGTGTCCTCGTGTAAAGGGCACGAAAGTTAATCCATAATTATGCAGGCCTGGGACAGGATTGCTGTTTAAATACTGAAAAACAACTCGACTGTCACCATACGTTTTGGTTAAACTCGACATATCACACTATCCAAAAGAACAGAAATTGTAACATTTCATTGATGATATCTATTCGGAAGGTTACTTGAATTGTCTTCCATTAAAATAAAAAAATACTTACTACATTTGATTGTAACATTAAAACTGATTTACAAAGGTAATACCCACCAAAGTAAATCACGAATGGCTTAGCACGTTACCTTAGATAATGTTCTTGTATCGAGACATCCCTATTGCACGGCATGTATATATTACACACTCTATGTTGATCTCAAACTGATGTTTCCATTTGATCTGGTCCAGGTTCTGCGCATAGTGAAACATGAAGACCATGAAAGTACAGGACAATGGACGCTGCAGGTCCGTGACCGGAAGTCCAATATGGTCACTTCTCATGTTTTTGACGCCGTTATGGTTGCCACGGGGCATCACGCCAAAAAGAAGATGCCAGATTTTCCTGGAATGGACACCTTTAAAGGGGACATAACTCATACTCATGATTATAAATCGTGGAAGGGATACGAGGACAAGAAAGCGGTGGTGGTAGGGGGGGGCAACTCAGGTGGTGACGTAGCTGTGGAACTGTCACGTGTTGCTTCCAAGGTAAATACAGTTACTTAAATTTTCCGTTATATTTCATCAAAGTATATATCAACAAAATTTTATTTCACGAGGGTTGTCTCACTTGATGACGAAGCTCTGCAGCTGTTACTTTTTGCCTCTAAGGTAACTACAGTAAATGACTTTTGCCCGGTTCTTTTTTGTTTTGCTGACGTATATATCAAAAAGAGTTTATTCCAATAGGATTTTCTAAGTCATTTTATCTTGGACGTCTATGCTCGTTTGATCTCTTCCGGGTTGTCAAATTCATCCAAACCACACTATAGGAAATACCAAGATACAATTTCCTCTCATACAATACAAACACTCCACTTAAATAACTGTTTTGACCGTTGCTTTGATAATAGTCAGACCTTTGTGACATTCGGTAATTTTTGACTTGTTTCGCCACTCTTTGGAAACAGCTCATAGCCATTTATACCAGATTACCCCCCACTTCACTTACACGAGTGGCAAAATTGGTCGGAGATGACCAATGTGTAAGGGTAGAATCATTCACATTAAGATTCCATACTAAGTAGACGTCTCAATGAATAGGATAAACCCATGGACAAAAGGTGTGACACGTGATTTGTTTCTGTCTCTTAATACGGACCTGGCAGGTTGATTTGGTCTTATACACTACAGTGTAACCTTCTACTGTCCTAACTAAGGATGACCAAGATTATGAGGAAAGGAACAGAAGCTTAGAGTATACCATTAATATAACTTAGTTTGTATTGTTTTCAGGCTTTCTTGAGTACGCGCCGGGGTGCATGGATAATAAACCGCATTGATAACGCTGGTACACCCGTTGACATGCTGCGGACCCGCCGAATTTTTGAATTGCTGAGACTCATTCTTCCAGACTATCTTGTTAACCTCGAATGGGCTATCAGATTAAATTCCAGGTTTGATCATGCTAAATACGCACTGAAGCCAAAACACAAACCCTTAGCCCAACACCCGACCATCAACGACGACTTACCCAACAAGATTGCCAACGGTTCTGTCATCATCAAACCGAACATCAAATGCTTCTCCGAAACCGAGGTAGAGTTCGATGACGGAACAAAGGAGGACGCTGACGCGGTCATTCTCGGGACGGGCTACATATTCGGGTTTCCTTTCATCGACAAATCTATAATTGATGTGAAGGACAATCAAATCGAACTGTATAAATATATGTTTCCTCCTGACCTTGATAAGCCGACATTGAGCGTGATTGGGTGTTGTCAGCCGGTAGGTGCCATCATGCCGCTGTCGGAGATGCAAGCTCGACTGGCCACTCGAGTGTTCAAGGTATGCGGCTGTTTGTATCACACTTATCACAAAGGATAGGTCCCATAGAGCTATTTGTACCATCAAGGTATACGGCTGTTTGTAGCACACTTATCACAAAGGAAAGGTCCCATAGAGCTATGTATACCATCAAGTGAGAATGTGTTTGTTTCCTTATTTGCAATTTAACAACCTCACGTAACAGATATGTCAAATGGCGGTTAGAATCGAAATATAAAATACACAAACGTAATTAATAGTAAGAGAAAGGAAACATGTAGTTGCAATGTTATATGATAAGGATTGGTTGGTGTCTAGTACAACGCCTTCTTTGCACTCATAATAGGCATGGATTCCTTGCCGCATTTGAGATACAATATCCCCATTACATGAAATTAATGAGGATCATCTTGTTGAAGTGGTAATTTGTTTGTCGAATTTCTTTCTCTGCATTATACATCTTCATGATATTGCAAGAGGCATTTAACGTAGGCCTCCTGCAGAAATGGTCTACTGTATACTCCGTAATCAAAGATACTTTTACTAATTTCTTATACTTCGTAATTTTCTCATATGAAATACACTATACAAAAACCATTGCCAACTCCCAACCACGGTTCACTGAATAGGTGAATGTGAAAATTGCAGTTGATCGAGGTTACTTTAAAACACTAATAATAGTGTAATCCTGACAATAAAACTGACACCATCTCGGGCTGTTGTTGGTTATGTCACTTAACATATAGGCATGTAATTATTTCATCATCAAAATATTAGCATCCTTTCCCGATACGCACATCATAAGTAATCACTAATGTGGGACCGTTAAGAGAAAAAAATCACGTTTAGATCAAATGGGAAGAATCCACACCTATTTACATTTATTACTGAAATTGTTAAGTGGACCTTCATTAAGTGTTGAATTCTCCTGACCATAGGGGGACGTCCAGCTGCCGTCCAGAGTTGACCGATGGGTGGACATCCGTAAGAAAAAGATCGCCATGCGCCACCGTTACGTAGAGTCAACGCGACACACAATACAGGTGGACTTCATACCGTACATTGATGAACTGGCCAAGTTGAATGGCTGCCGTCCTAATCTAGGTAAGATCACTTGATTCGTCAACTATATGAACGGTTCGATTAGTTTGCTATTTATAACATTGTGTTCTTTAATAATATCCTGTAAATACATTTTAAAATTTAAACTTTATTTATGGTACAACAATTTTAAAACAAGTTATGTTAACTTGTGTTAATCAATCTTGTTGGCCCGGATGTTAGCGCGGGGATCTTATTATGAGAGGAAACCGGTGTACCCGTAGAAAACCCACGTGGTCGGGTAGGTAATTCCGTACCTTTTCATGTTTGATAGGGGAATCAACCCGGCCGCCCTGGTGAAAGGCAAGAGCGCTATCAACTACGCCACCGGGCAGCCCTAGTCGGGGTACTTTATATGTTTCATGTCAAATCAAAGAGATTGTATATGTAAAAATTAATACATTTGTTTATGTTCGTTTGGATTAATTCTTATCTAACATACCACTGTCTACATCTCATCCTAGCTCAAATGCTGCTGCGAGACCCCGTGCTTGCCATCAAGTGTTTTTCTGAACCCTGTACACCATATCAGTTCCGCCTGGAAGGCCCGGGGAAATGGGTAGGGGCCAGACAGGCCATAATGACCCAGTGGGACCGTACGTGGCAGCCTATGAAGACAAGACCACTGGACATTAAACAGGACGAACCTTATAACGTGTACGTCAAACTAGCAGTGGCTCTGGTGATTCTGTTCCTAGTTTGGGGTATATTCCTCTGACTGTAGTATCAATGAGAGAGTTTTGATCTACTATCTGTCTAAAACGATTTGGTATCCTTGTCACTGATATTGCATAAAGTCTCACGTTAGGAGTTGTGTTTCATGTCAAATCATAATCAAATATACTGCACATGCAAAACTGTACAATGCCAATGACAACGACATTGTCAAAACGCCACTCACTTATGTTTGCTACTTACATAGACTGATCACATAGATTTGTATAGTGCTGTAAACAACCCGAACAACTAGAATGTGAAAACTCTTCATACCAACCTAATAGTACAAAGTCCATTTACCATAGACAATGTAATGTCACGGATACTATCTGATACCATACGGATGAAAATAAGCTATGATCATCAAAAGTCTCCACATGCATAACAGTCCACCAATGATTGAAATAACACGGACAGGATGGCAGGCACCGATTGGATTTTCACTGTTACTGTACTCGGTGACTAGGTACCGCTTTGTTGAGAAACATTAATAAATAAAACCACACCAGAACCAAGAAACTAGCCAATCGGCAAAACAATGTATACATACGCCAGAAACTGAAGAAACTATAAATGGATAAGTCAATAAGATAATTCACTCAAAAAATGAGAACTGGAACTCTAAAGGTAGATACTATCTTACTAAATTAGACATCAAGTATAGGTCAAACATGTTTTGNAGATTTCACAGTTTTCTTGAACAACAAATTAAAGAAAACTTTGACATAGACCTCTATCTCAGGATGACTAAGATTATGAGGAAAGGAACAAGAAGCTTAGAGTATACCATTAATATAATTTAGTTTGTATTGTTTTCAGGTTTTCTTGAGTACGCGCCGGGGTGCATGGATAATGAACCGCATTGATTACGCTGGTACACCCGTTGACATGCTGCTGACTCGCCGAATCGTTGACTTGTTGAGACTCAGTCTTCCAGACTATCTTGTTAACCTCGAAAGGGCTCTCCGATTAAATTCTAGGTTTGATCATGCTAAATACTCACTGAAGCCAAAACACAAACCCTTTGCCCAACACCCGACCATCAACGACGACTTACCCAACAAGATTGCTAACGGTTCTATCATCATCAAACCAAACATCAAATGCTTCTTTGAAACCGAGGTAGAGTTCTATGACGGAACAAAGGAGGACGCTGACGCGGTCATTCTCGGGACGGGCTACATATTCGGGTTTCCTTTCATCGACAAATCTATAATTGATGTGAAGGACAATCAAATCGAACTGTATAAATATATGTTTCCTCCTGACCTTGATAAGTCGACCTTGAGTGTGATTGGGTGCTTCCAGCCGCTAGGTGCCATCATGCCGATGTCGGAGATGCAGGCTCGACTGGCCACTCGAGTGTTCAAGGTACACGGCTGTTTGTATCACACTTACCACAAAGGGTAGGTCCCATAGAGCTATTTGTACCATCAAGGTATGCGGCTGTTTGTAGCACACTTACCACAAAGGATAGGTCCATAGAGCTATTTGTACCATCAAGGTATGTGGCTGTTTGTAGCACACTTACCACAAAGGATAGGTCCCACATAGCTATTTGTACCATCAAGGTATGCGGCTGTTTGTAGCACACTTACCACAAAGGATAGGTCCCACATAGCTATTTGTACCATCAAGGTATGCGGCTGTTTGTAGCTCATTTACAACAAAGGATAGGTCCCATAGAGCTATTTGTACCATCAAGGTATGCGGCTGTTTGTAGCACACTTACCACAAAGGATAGGTCCCACAGAGCTATTTGTACCATCAAGGTATGCGGCCGTTTGTAGCTCACTTAACACAAAGGATAGGTCCCACAGAGCTATTTATCAAGTGAGGATTTGTTTGTTTCCTTGTTTGCAATTTAACAACCTCACAACGCAAATATGGCAAATGGCGATTAGAATCAAAATACAAAATACACAAAGTAATTAAGTGTAAGAGAAAGGGAAACGTGTTGCAGGGGCGTAACAAACGGGTTTTCAATGTGTAAGCCCAATGATGAAGTGTGCTGCCGAAGGCAGGTATGGTCTTTATAGCAGATACAAAACACCTGTCATTGCTTTTCAATATTTTATATCATATAGTCTATGCTGTGTTTATTTTTATTTTTTTATTTTGTCAAAAATGATGTGTAAGCCCGGGCTTTTTTGCTACATAGGTTGTTACGCGCCTGTGTTGTTGCAATGTTATAAGATAAGGATTGGTTGGTGTCTGGCACAATGTACAATGCCCTCTTTGCACTCATAATAGGCATGGATTCCTTATTTCATTGCCGCATATGAGATACAATATCCCCACTACATGAAATTAATGAGGATCATCTCGTTAAGTGATAATTTGTTTGTCGAATTTGTTTCTCTGCATGATACATCTTCATGATATTGAAAGAGGCATTTAACGTAGGCCTCCTGCAGAAATGGTCTATTGTATACTCCGTAATCAAAGATACTTTCACTACTTACATATACTTCGTATTTTTGTCATATGAAATACACTATACAAAACCATTGCCAACTCCCAACCACGGTTCACTGAATAGGTTGATGTGAAAATCGCAGTTTATCGAGATTACTTTAAAACACTAATAATAGTGTAATCCTGACAATAAAACTGACACCATCTTGGACTGTTGTTGGTTATGTCACTTAACATATAGGCATATACTTATTTCATCATCAAAATATTAACATGCTTTCCCGTTGCGCACTCATAAGTAATCACTAATGTGGGATCGTTAAGAAAAAAGAATTCACGTTTCGATCAAATGGAACGTTAAAATGTATTAAACTGAGAACAATCCACACCTATTAACATTATTTGCTGGAATTGTTAAGTGGACCTTCTTTAAGTGTTGCATTCTCCTGACCATAGGAGGACGTCCAGCTGCCGTCCAGAGTTGACCGATGGGTGGACATCCGTAAGAAAAAGATTGCCATGCGCCACCGTTACGTGGAGTCAACGCGACACACAATACAAGTGGACTTCATACCGTACATGGATGAACTGGCCAAGTTGAATGGCTGCCGTCCTAATCTAGGTAAGATAACTTGATTGGTCAACTGTATGAACGGTTCGATTAGTTTGCTATTTATAACATTGTGTTCTTTAATGATATCCTGTGAATATATTTTATAATTTAAACTTTATTTATGACACAACAATTATAAAACAAGTTATGTTAACTTGTAATAATCAATCTTGTTGGCCCGGATGTTAGCGCGGGGATCTTATTATGGGAGGAAACCGGTGTACCCGTAAAAAACCCACGCGGTCGGGTAGGTAATTCCGTACCTTTTCATGTCTGATAGGAGAATCGCCCCGGCCGCCCTAGTGAAAGGCAAGAGCGCTATCAACTACGCCACCCGACAGTCCTAGTCGGGGTACTTTATATGTTTCATGTCAAACCAAATAGATTGTATATGTAAAAATTAATACCGTTATTCATGTACGTTTGGATTAATTCTTATCTAACGTGCCAATGTATGCATCTAATCCTAGCTCAAATGCTGCTGCGAGACCCCGTGCTTGCCATCAAGTGTTATTCTGAACCCTGTACACCATATCAGTTCCGCCTGGAAGGCCCGGGAAAATGGGTAGGGGCCAGACAGGCCATAATGACCCAGTGGGACCGTACGTGGAAGCCTATGAGGACAAGACCACTGGACATCAATCCGGACGAACCTTATAACTTGTACGTTAAACTAGCAGTGGCTCTGGTGATTCTGTTCATAGTGTGGGGTATACTCCTCTGACTGTAGTATCAGTGAGAGAGTTTTGCTCTGCTATCTGTCTAAAAAGATTCTGTATCCTTGTCACTGATATTGCATAAAGTCTCACGTTAGGAGTTTCGTTTCATGTCAAATCATATAGATTATATACTGCACATGCAAAACTGTACAATGCCAATGACAATGCCATCGTCAAAACGCCACTCACTTATGTTTGCTACTTACATAGACTGATCATATAGATGTGTATTGTGCTGTAAATAACTCAAACAACTCGAATGTGAAAACCCTTCATACCAACCTAATATCTGATACCATACGGATGAAAATAAGCTATGATCATCATAAGTGACATGCATAACAGTCCACCAATGATTGAAATAATACAGACAAGATGGCAGGCACCGATTGGATTTTCACTGTTACTGTACTCGGTGACTAGGTACCGCTTTGTTGAGGAACTTTACTAAATAAAACCACACAAGATCCAAGAAACTAGCCAATCGGCAAAACAATGCATGCATTCGCCAAGCACTGAAGAAACTATAAATGGATAAGTGAATGCTTTCAAGCAAGAAAACACCCATTTCCTAAGCGGTGTAAAGAAAGCGTTGATTTTCTCTGGTGTAGTATGAAAACACTTCGTTAGGTTAGTGGAACTGATCCCTATCGAAATGAATTATGTTCGATCACATTTGGATCCCAGAGATATACTTCCTAACTGAAAATAAGGGTAGTATAAGGAATGTCTGCGTTCATTCGTAAAGAACTCCGAGATCATTGCTTTGGTTATGAAGCTTTGAAACGGCATGTTTCTTTTTTTGTTTATAGCGAGATTTAAAGTTAATATACGAGTGCACCGATGAAAGGTTGTTTAAAGTTAATTATTTGTTGAGCATTTCGAACATTGCATAAATCTGAAGGAAAAGTTATTGTACTTTAAAATCATTATTCATGAAAACTATACAGCACATGGTCATATTTATATAACAGCACGACTTTTGATGACATCAAAACAAAAGGTGGTTTTTTTAATAGAATGATTTATTTTTTCTATTTCATTTCCGAAATAAACAGACCGGGTTTTTTTTTAAATTACTTTCTTACTTCACATGTCAGCACGTCCCTAAATACCATTGGAGCAATGTTTTTATTCATTTATTTATTTGACCAACTTCCTCTCATAGAATAAGGTAAAATATTTGCGTTCTGGTTTACGTCTGGAGTAATGAGAAAAAGTCCTCTGTTTTTGTCGGTTCCTGGATATATATGTTTGTACCGTAGCATAAAAGATATATTTCTTATACTGTAACAAATGTATTACCCATCTTTTACCAATGTAAGGCACATACGCACAAGTCTAGTAACCCCATCGACGATATTGTACAATGATGTATCAAGATCTAAACATCACTATCTTTCCTGTCTACTTTCTTTGTGATCTACTTTCACTTTCAGACGGTGCCTTTCTAGGCACGTGTCTACATATGGCCCTGGCTGTTACAAGGACGTTAATACGGAAGCCCTGGAGGGACATTTTTAGTTACCAATTATTTATTATTACTTATTTGTTTTTCCTTATTTGTTATTATTTACTTGCTATTTGATAATTACGACAAAACGTGGTAAGGCTGTCCGGCAAAATAGACTGCTTCAGCTCTAACGAACATGCAATATAACAGAGGTTGCCTCCTAAATAAGCAATAACAAACAAGGAATAACAAATAAGAATTAATAAATAACAAATAACAAAAATGGACTTTTGATAGTTTCCAGACAATTGAATACTCGACGGTACTCCACAACGGAGCATAAACACAAAAGGATGAATATGAATAGAATACTTGATAAGAAATATCTATCACAATATAAATGATACATTAGTATTAATAATAATTAATAACAAATAATTAATATCAAATTATGAATAACAAATAATTAGTAACAAATAAATGCTAACAAATAAGTGGTAATAAATAAGTGGTAACTAAAAATGTCCCTCCAGGGACATATAAACAAATATTAACATCAATAAAATCGATGCTACATTATATATGTAAAAAGCTATCTGTGTATTATTGTGTAATATCAGTTATCTAAACACATCGGGTGGTATAAAGTGTAACATGTGTGAATAACCGTGAGAAAGTATTAACCGTAAGAAACTGTGCATGCCTAAAATGTGTTATAAAAATAAATGTGTATGACGTAGAACAACAAGGTTTTCAGGGACAATTTATTTGTTATTTATGAACAGCTGCATTCCATTTTCAACGTTATGGAATCAAAAAGTTCCGCTCAGGAGTGACATAAACACAGTAGGGGTCAATACTGAGTTCACAAAGTTAATACCTCTTATGTCTACCGTTTGCCTGAATGCAAGCCTGGCTACGTCGACGCATGGAGCCTATCAGACGGTTCAAGAATGCTTGTGGGATGGCATTCCAGATCTGTACCAACGCTGCAGCCAAATCAGCCAACGTCACCGGTTGATTAGGTAATGCACGTAATCTGCGCTTCATTTCATCCTAGACTTGTTCAATGGGCGACATATCGGGGGATACAGCAGACCAGGGCAACACGTCAACGTTCTGCTGGGCCAAAAAGTCCATAGCGACACGAGCTGTGTGTGGCCTGAGGTTGTCCTGCTGTAGCGTAAAGTGACGTTGCTGCCCTTGCATGAATGGAACGACGTGGGTCCGGAGGATCTCGTCACGGTAACGTAGCGCGTTTAGTTCCCGTTAACAACCACCAGAGGCGTTCTCCCGTTGGCTGTGATGCCGCCCCAAATCATAACGCTACCTCAGCCGAAAGAACGTCGTTGTACCACACACGCGTCACGGAAACGTTCTCCAACGCGATGATACACTCTGGAACGGCCGTCACTACTATCCAGGTGGACTCGTCCGTAAACAAAATGCCTGCCCAATCCCGTCGAGTAAATCGCAGATGCCTTCTGCACCAGTCCAGACGTGCTACACGATGACGTGGCAGAAGAACTGGGCGGATTGCAGGACGTCGCGGACGGATAGCTCGTTCACGCAATCGATTCCGTACAGTTCTCGGACTTATTGGTAGCAACCCAGGGATTGTCCGTGCAGTCAAACTTGCCGTTTGGAAGCGATTTCTCAAATGAACAAGCCGAATATGTTTGTCCTGTTGACGTGACGTCACACGTGGACGTCCCGCACGAGGTCGATCGCCGACGTGGCCAAACTGTTGATGTCGTCTCCACAAATCCCGGATTGTGTTTCGATGGACATGAAAACGTGTAGAGACAACGGCTTGGCCCATACCAGCTTGAAGCATACCAATAATCCGGAGGAGGTCTTTTCATTGAGCCTCGGCATAGCATTAATCACAAATTAAAACGTTATAATGCTGTTTTTACTGTTCACTGTTCTTAACAGAGTGACCCAACAGTTGAAAAATAAACTTTCATTGTCGAATTGGATGGCTGGACGAGAAAAACGTGCAAACTGGTCAACGCCTATAGAGAGCAAACTGAACGGGAAAAACTTCCAATGACACACGGATGGTGTGTATGTGTCATACTCGGTCATGGCTGTGAATTTTCATGTATATACAGTTGGTAATACATGTTCTATAACAATTCTCCGCATGCACAGTTTCTTTTTTTCCGCTAGTATATATACAGTTTGTCATACATGTTCTATAACAATTCTCCGCATGCACAGTTTCTTTTTTCCGCTAGTATAGTTAGATTTACACCTATACAAACACACACCAACCGTGGAAATTTATATATTTCAATGATAACGTACCAGAAACGTGAACCAATGAGAACTGAGAAGGCATACGTATACTTAATGTATATGCACTGATTCGACTCTCACTTCCAACATGGCTTGCGTTATCCCACAAAAACACGCTTTTAACTGAAATCCGTATCTGAAAAAAACATTATCCAAAAAGTGTCGTTCAATCTGAAAGGAGGAATTACCCGTGACCTAAATATATTAAACAGAATTAAAGAGAATCATCTTCGAACTAACACATGAATGTTACCATAATATGCAAGCAAACAGCTAGAAACCACTGTGTGACAGATGGACAGCCAAACTGATGATTAGTAGTAGGAAAGATGCGGGGGCTGTTAGTCATACTACCACCTCCATGGCATTACGTAAGAGATATGAGTAATACCCAGTCATGATCGTTTTCAGTTTGATTTTGAAGTGGCGTAATATAACATCCACTTGGATGTCGGACGGTAGCTTTAATTAAAGGCAGTAGTTGTGTACCTAACGTACTGCACGACGACGTAATGTTAGGTCACTATACAGTACAGATAATACCACTATATTTTGTATGATATCGACTTGACATTGACCTTTCAATCGTAACCTTTTTCTGTTTCCTTGATATGGTAGTAGAGAATATTCACTAACATAGCTCCTAGGGACGCCTTAATCAGTACAATAAGTGGAGTGATAAAGATACGCCGCACAGACAATGTGTACGCATGTTGATGCTGAGGCATGCACCGTATAATCGGGTATGTGGTATGATAGGGATTTTTAAATCGAGGTCATCACCTACTATTATCACGACAAACTGATTAACCAGCAAAGAGAAGACTTCATTTCCAGAATATGAAAAATGTAGCAGTAATAGGGGCTGGGGCCAGTGGTCTCCCCGCCATCAAATGTTGTTTGGACGAAGGGCTCGAACCGACATGTTTTGAACGGACAGATGACATAGGTAAGTTTTAAAACTACCAGCACAGAATGTCAATTCGTGCTGAACCACCATAATTTAGTCTATGTTAAAATATATAGTTCGGCCATTCTTTTACTGGAAATATAGTTGATAGCGGCTGGGCGAATTTTCGATGTATTGGTAAAAAATAGCTAGAGATTAGTTAAGTCGAAGCTACTCTGTACTGGAAAAAACTAGCTACGTTGAGGCTTGTCTGAACTGGCGAAGTCAGCTGTGATTGAGGTTGTTTGATAGCTAGCTATCACCTGTTGAGAGGTTAATCGAAACACATATGCACTGGTGATACCTAGCTAGGGTTTAGGTTGGTCCAGACTCATCTGTACTGGTGAAAGCTAGTTATAGTTGAGGTTGATCGAGACTCATCTGTACTGGTGATAGTTAACTAGGGTCGAGGATGGTCGAAACTCATATCTACTGGTGATACCTAGCTAGGGTTGAGTCTGGTCGAGATTCCTATGTAGTGGTGAATGCAAACTAGGGTTCAGATTGATCGAGGATCCTCTGTACTAGTGAAAGCTAGCTACGGTTGTGGTTGGTCGAAATTCCTCTGTACTGGTGAAAGCTAGTTATAGTTGAGGCTGAAAGAGATTCCTCTGTACTGGTGAAAGCTAGTTATAGTTGAGGTTGGTCGAGATTCCACTGTACTGGTGAAAGCTAGATAGTGTTGAGGCTGGTCGAGATTCCTCTACACTGGTGATACCTAGATACGGTTCAGACGGATCGAGACTCATCTGTACTATTGATAGCTAGCTAGGGTTGAGGTTGGTCGATATTCCTCTGTACTTGTGAAAGCTAGCTATAGTTGAGGCTTGTCGAGATTCCTCTGTACTGGTGATACCTCGCTAGGGTTGAAGCTGGTCGAGATTCATCTGTCCTGGTGATACCTCGCTAGGGTTGAGGCTGGTCGATGCTACTCTGTACTGGTGATAGCTGTAGCTTGTGTTAAGACAAAGCAAGGATCCTCTATATTTGGTATACCTACCTACGGTTTTGACTGATCAAGACCCATCTGTTCTGGTGATACCTAGCTATGGTTTCGACTGATCAAGACCCATCTGTTCTGGTAATAGCTAAATGTGACACAGACAGTGTTACAACGTTGTGAAATTGGTGACGTATATCGGGAATAGCTCAGTGAATCCAGGATTACATAGATATGATCTTAAAGTCTCAACTGATCACCTATGCACGTACCAATAGATTATTATCGGGTATATATATAACCTAGAAAGGAGATAAGGGGAGACGAACAAGGGAC